TGCGTATTCATCCTATATGCGTATTTCACCAAAGTGCTGGTGAAAAAAAAATAATGCCGGTGAACCACTGCCCATTATTTTGTTATTGGGGGCGCAGGGCCAAGCCCTGGCAGCTACTTCTAATAGAGACCAAGTCTTTAGCAGTAAGATTCTCACCCTCGCCAGACAATTCTCACGCCTCCCAGGGACTTCATAATGCTTTCAGGGCAGACTGCAGGACACAAAAGCAGAGCAGAGACTCTTGGGCAAGTAATTCTGAATTTTGCTACAAGTACACATTTGAAAAAGCACAAAGAACTGGCAGCTCAATGTGTTCAGTGCTGTTATTAGTAATGGGGGGTGGGTTCATTTTTCTGGCCCAAGTATTTTACTTTAGTAAGTTATGTCAAGCAAGAATGACCTGGAAACAGAACTCAAAGTTGTGTTAAGGACTAAATTGTGTTAATGACCAAAATTTATTTCTTTTATGTTTTGAATATTTAATTATTGAACATTTCGATCAATTTAAGAGTTTGGTTAAGTGCTGCCTAGAGCAGAAATATATGACTTTTTTGGAAGTCATAGAGCTTCTTTATAAAAAATGTACAGAATCTGAATCAAGCACTAAGTAGGACAGTTACCAGAATAAAACCAGTTTACAGTTAATAATCCACAATCAAGGATGAGTTATTAGCAACTAACCATGACAAGTAACATTTCTTGGGCCCTGGGTTTGTCCCAAGCACTGTTCTCTAACTGTTCTCTTATCTCATTTCATCTTCATAATCACCACCCCATTAATTAGGATCCCCACTTCACAGGTGAGGAGACTGAGGCACAGAAAGGTTAGGGCAGGTGGCCCCCAAGAGGTTAAGAACCTCTAGCTACTATGTGGTGGAACCCTGTGACTTGAGTGGTTCTGCTGTAGCTGCCTCTGTATAATCTATAATAATAAAAGCGTAATATGCAAATCGACTGAACAGCTTTACAGTGGAACGACCTTCCGGACAAAGCCGGGGCTGCAGCCGTGAAATTGAGGCAGCTGTGAAATTGAGGCAGCCGCCATGGCTGCGAGGGAGGGACCGAGGCAGCTGCCGCGGCTGCAAAGGCCTACTCTTGCACAAATTTCATGCATCGGGCCTCTAGTGTTACTAATAATAATGTAAATACTGGGGAGTAAGGTTAAGGATGAAGGTCGTAAGGGTTTTCATGAACTCCCTTTTTAAAATATATTTTTATTGATTTCAGAGAGGAAGGGAGAGGGAGGGAGAGAGAGAGAGAGAGAGAGAGAGAGAGAAAAACATCAATGATGACAGAGAATCATTGACCGGGGATTGAGCCCGCAACGTGGGCATGTGCCCTGACTGGGAGTCGATCCCTGACCTCCTGGTTCATAGGTCGACACTCAACCACTGAGCCACTCCAGCCGGCCAAAGCTCCCCTTTCTGTTAGTTTGCGCTCTAGATCATGGCAAAACAAATATACATCACATTTTCTTCGTAGAGATGGTAAGACCTTTCCAGTTCCCTTTATGTCCCACTCCTGACTGCATTTGGGAACAAAGACAATTCTTGCAGGGTGACTGTACAGTTTCCCAGGGCTGCCGTCAGAGCACAAAACCTGGGTGGCTTAGCACAATGGGAATGTTCTGTCTCGGTTCTGGAGGTCAGAAGGCCCAGCTCAAGGGTGGGGAGGGCCGTGCCCCCTCGGCAGGGAAGGTGCTCGCGAAGGATCTGTTCCGGCCTCTCTCCTAGTTCCTGGTAGTTCCTGGCCTGGTGGCAGCACAACTCCAGTCTCCACATGGCGTTCTCCCTGGGTGTGTCTGTGTCCAAGGGTCCCCTTTTTTATAAATACATCAGTCACATTGGGTCAGGGCCCATCCTAATGACCTCATTTGAACTTGATTACTTCTATAAAGGCCCTATCTCCAAATAAGGTTCCATCCTGAGGTCCAGGGTTGAGGGAGGTGGGGGTTGAGATTCCAATATCTTTTTTAAGGGACACAACTCAAGCCATAACAGCAATAACAGCAGTGCAATTTAGAGCCTTGAAGTAAATGAAGATGACTTAGGAATACCATCAACCAAAATATGAAGTTCATCAAGTTCATACAGCATTCCAAGCCTAACTCACTTTGTAAAATGTCTCACAGAACCATAGCAAGTTTAGCACTTTGTGGGATAAGATTTCAAAACCTCATGATTTAAGGCTCATAATAACAAAATACTTTACTCATTCATTTAAAATAATACTAAGTGCCAGGCACAACGTAGCAGATAATTTTCATGATTTTTTAACCTACCTAGGATTCTAACTGACAAAGGCAAGAGGAAGGAACAGGGATAGTTCTTAACCATATCTGGAACTGAACTGCTCACCCTGGAAGAACACATTTCATTATTTTCTGTTCATCCCATTCATATCTATTTTTTACTGAGTAACTGTATCAGGTTTATTTTACACTAGAGGCCAGTGCATGAAATTCGTTCACGGAGGGGGGGGGGTTCCCTCAGCCCAGCCTGTACCCACTCCAATTGGGGACCCCTTGGGGGATGTCCGACCGCCGATTTAGGTCCAATCCCTCACAATCTAGGACCGCTGGCTCCTAACCACTCACCTGCCTGCCTGCCTGATCACCCCTAACATCTTTGCCTGCCTGCCTGCCTGATTGCCCCTAACTTCTCTGCTTGCCTGCCTGATCGCCCCTAACCTCTCTGCCTGACTGCCTGATCACCCCTAACTGCCTCTGCCTGCCTGCCTGATTGCCCCTAACTTCTCTGCCTGCCTGCCTGATCACCCCTAACTGCCTCTGCCTGCCTGCCTGATCGCCCCTAACTGCCCTTCCCTGCCAGCCTGATCTCGCCCCCAATAGCCCTCCTCTGTCGGCGAATTTAGTTCTGATTGGTCAGTTTCTATGCCAGTCAGCGTCAAAAGCTCCGCCTCCTAGGCAGCCATTGGCTCCTTATATTCACCCAGATTTGGTTCTGATCAGTCAGTTTTCTATGCCAGTCAGCATCTCTGGGCCTACCAATGGGGCCTAATCAGAAAGGCAGGGCTGATCAGCAGCCCCTGGCGAGGCCGAGAGAGAGAGAGAGAGAGAGAGAGAGAGAGAGAGAGAGAGAGAGAGGCAAGTTCTGATCAATGGCTTCCACAGAGGCTACGGATCAGACCCTGCTTCTCTCTCTGTAGGCCTCTCTCAGGGCCTGATCTGCAGACCCCTAGGCAATCAGTGCTGGGTCGCCATGGCAACCCAGCTGACTTCCGGTCTGGTCAAGCCTTTGGTGGTTAGGACCCTGGCTCTTTATTATATAGATTAGCAGATAAGTCAAAATGGCCTTCTGATGACTGGGTTTTCTCCCATTCTTAATTACAGCTTTGATCGTAATATTATCAATCTCTTGGGGGAAAAACATCTTCTGGTAAGGACAACAGAAATAAGCCCCATCATCATCATTATTTTTTCAAAAGTAACAAACAGCATTCCAAACAATGTGGACACGGGCCAATGCCTACTCTCCCTCACGTGTCAAATGGTTATTTTGTATGTATTTTGAAAAAAGGTAGACTTCCTTCCTGGTGCTCAAGGAAAGAAATGTATTCTATGTGTAATGTAAGTGCTGTTTTAAAAATACTTGTTTGGATATACTTTCTAATGCACACCAAAGAAGTCAACAGTTTAATTGAAAGAAGGAAAATTAAAAAAAAACTGAATGAGTAGTTTAGTGAAGGAAGAATGATGGGCAAAGACACTAAAGGGCGTGACGCTTTATACAAAGCCCACTGCTCAGTTCCTGACACCTAGCGGGATCAATAAATGCTATCAATAAATCAATAAATATATTTCTGCAGTGGTGCTTTTACTTTTCGTTTCTGATGTATTCCTTTGGTCTTCTCCATCATGGAATGAGAACACCAAGACTTTAAAGACTAAAGTTTACCTTTTTCTCTTATAAGTTAAAACAATGTTGCATCATTATGAAAATATGATCATTCAAAATGGAAATGAAACTCTTCCTAGACTTCCATGTTTCTGTTTACTAAAAATGGTAGGTAAACTGTCATATAATTAGAACTCAATACAAACAATATTGAGACTGGCTACTGGTTATAAGAGAGAAAAGAAGAGATATTTGTATATTTATTAGAGACACTTAAAATGTAAATGATCTGATAACTCCAATAGTAAGAAGAGCACCAAAAGCAGTTCTAGTTCTTTGTAGTCAGAAATTATAAAAAGAAAATTCCTGCTTTCTGACTGAAGATATAAGACCATTATCACAATTCTCTAACCCCTGGGAAGACAGTCTCAATGCAGGATCAAATCGAAGATTTAAGTAAGTACTAGGCATTTTGTTATTCTATTTAGGTTCAGACTGATCTCTACTTTGAGGGTAGGGAGCTTAATGTTTCAGAAATGGCATGTCTGCAGTACCAGGGAAGGCTCAGAGCTATGTACCAATGAGTTGGCAACAGTATTTTAGGAACCTAGTTGTCTTAGGCACAAAACCCAATCCCTAAGTTTGTGCATGAGGAAGGAGCACAGGAATTGGAGTCAGGCAGACCTTGGTTTGATTCCTGACAGCAAATTATTAGTTGTGTACCATGGAATAAGTCAAATAACCTTCTAAAGGCTCACTTTCTTCATTTGTAAAATGGGTTTAATACCTCGAGGGACTATTGTGTAGGTTAGAGAACACGTGCATGCACACATGTATGCGCACACATATGCACGCATGTACACTGTCCATCTGGTGGAGTCTCTGACATTCAATAAATGTTAGAGATCCTACTGGGTGAAGCTTTGTTATAGAACTAAAAAGAAAGTCCTATATAAAAATAGCTCTGGTAACTAATATAATTGAGGTGCCATGTCACCATGGCTTTTCCAGGCCTGTGACTGGATTTGGAATAGTATCTGTACCCAGTTGAGGAGTTAGAAAGTAAATTTACAGATTGAGGGAGAGAAAGCTGCAGAATGCAGGGCAAGGAAAGGAAGCATGTGAAGGCAGCTCTGCACTTACGCCGCTCCTCCCTGTGCCTCTCAGTCTCTGCAAAGTACTGGCGGAGCTCCTCTGTGATCTCCATGTTGCTCAGGTCGCACTCCACCTCATCATCTGAGTCGGTCTCCGCCTCCTCTTCTGTGGTCCAAGATTGGTCTTCGCTTGTGGTGTCAGGAGGATGCTGCCCAGACCTTGGAGAATGTGAATAACCACAGTGGGAGTCCTGGGAGGACAGGTGATGGTCATAGAAGGGCTGAGAAGATCTACCTTTCTTAGCATAAAAGCTCTGGGGAAGACCTCCTGGAGCGAAGTACCAGGGGGAACTGAAATAAGACTCCATGGCCCTCCGATAGGCATTCTGGTGGCTTCGCATCCAAGCCATTGCTTGATAATAATGTTGCCAGTATCTTGCGTATACTGGATGACAAGACCAAGGCGTGGTAGTTTCCGATGATGTCATCTACAAAATAAAGGGAGGTGTAGGCTAGACACTACAATTCATCCTCAAGATAAATCTCTAAATGTTTCATCAACTTAACACATATTTACTGAGTATCTACTAACAACCTACTCTACTGTAGGATGCTGCTGGCCAAAGAGGACATGACAGGTCCATGCCCACAATGGAAACTGAGTGTATGCACACCCGATCTGAAGTATGTGTACATGAGGTACGCACAGGATAATTAGCTTAATGTGATGGCCATAAAAAAGCAGGACAGAAGCTAGTAATGATCATTTTTAGATAGGATGCAGGGAGAGATAAGGACTGGACATCTATCACCTTGGCCCTTTCTATCCACTGTAATTAAGCAACTAGTTCCCAGTTTGAAACGGCCTGCCAAGAACCACATGGACTAATGAATGGCATGTTTTCTGGTCCCTCCCTCTCTGCCCCCTAAATGCCTGCTGGCCCAGCCTATTCCTCAGTGCCACGGACAAAAGACATTGAGCAATGCACCCAGTGGTGCTTTTACTTTTCGTTTCTGATGTATTTCTTTGGTCTTCTCCATCATGGAATGAGAACACCAAGACTTTAAAAGACTAAAATTTACCTTTTTCTCTTATAAGTTAAAACAAAAATCTTACCTTTGCTGCCATCTCTGATTGTGAAAGTCCAAATGGGCACGGGAACTAGGAAAGACCAACCACAGTACAACATCTGGTCAGTATAGGTATGTGGTATTCATGGCTATTTTGTAGTTTGCCAAGCAGCTTCTCATAGGGTGCCTCTTGCCAGTACCATGCCTAGTCTTCATGCAACTTACTACTACGGGACCCTGGCACCTGGGCATGACCTTGTGGTCTGAAAAGGAGGGATCCTCTTAGGTATGATCAAGTGGCTCAAGGGACACTCCACTTCTCAAGTACTGGTTTCCCTAATTTTTGTTTTTCAATTACAGTTTACTTTTCAATATTTTTTGGTATTGGTTTCAGGTGTATGCATAGTGGTTAGACAATTATATACTTTACAAAGTGTTCCCCCTGATATTTCCAGTGCCCACCTGGCACCGTACATAGTGATCACAATATTATTGACAGTATTCCCTAAGCTGTACTCTACATCAGCACTATTGAAAGACATGCAAGATGCCCCCAGCAGCATAAAGGTCACTATCTTAAAGTGCAACGACATATAGAGATTTAACAACAGAACTTGTTTCCCTATTGAAAATAACTATATAAATAGTAGTTAGTATATATATAAAAATAATATAGAGAGTATGAACTAAAATTGACAACTATTATGTTATGTACCAATCCTGAACTCATGCCAATGTCTATTTAAATTTAACTTGCATGTCCCTGAGACTTGAATAGAATAATGTTCATCTTGCCAACTCACCAGAAACCTTTGTTGGGCCTTGGGGAAGCCCCTCTAAATAAGACATCTTCCAGCCTGGGTTGTGCCCTGCGCTTTAAGGCCCCTCAATGGACCTTATTTTGGTTTGGGTTGTGATAAGCACCTCTCAGCCAGCGGGTGACAGGTGCTCTCCCTGTCTAACCACGCTGCCCCTTTGCAGGAGGAGAAACTTCCAAGGAGGCTCTTCATGGAGCCACCATGCAGGATGCCTGTGCCCAACAGCCTTGCTATACCCATATCTGCGCCTTTCCCCGCTACCTAAGCGCGTGTGACTTACTGATATGACAGGAAATACCTAAAGGTAAAGTCCAATCTGCACCTTTTACAACCCATTTAAAACCGACTTAATATTTTTCCTTCTGTTCAGAAGTTCAGAGCTACTAAAATGACAATCTATATCAGAATGTACTCTAAGAAGTTAAACAATAATAATACCCTAAAATGCATGAGAATTTAAGCATCTGTTAGACCAGTGGTTCTCAACCTTCCTAATGCCGCGACCCTTTCATACAGTTCCTCATGTTGTGGTGACCCCCAACGATAAAATTATTTTCGTTGCTACTTCATAACTGTAATTTTGCTACTGTTATGAATCGTCATGTAAATATCTGATATGCAGGATGTATTTTCATTGTTACAAATTGAACATCATTAAAGCATAGTGATTAATCACAAAAACAATATGTAATTATATATGTGTTTTCCTATGGTCTTAGGCGACCCCTGTGAAAGGGTCGTTCGACCCCCAAAGGGGTCGCGACCCACAGGTTCAGAACCGCTGTGTTAGACGAAGCCACTAACACAATGTGTTGCTGAGCAGTTGCTTAGGATTTGAAAATTCAGAAATCAGATACTGAAAGAGTCCTATTTTTCCTAACTTCACTCAATCACAGAATAGAATTTAAAAATCTCCAAGCCTTAAGAAAGAAACTTGACTTATTTTGTAATCTTGATCAGATGTTTCACTATGGGTAATGTTGAGACGTTAAAATGACCACTTCTTTTAAGATTTAACCTAAAAGAGAATCATTTGCTTTCTTTTTAAATATAATAAGCTTTCAAATAGGGTATTTCCAAGAGGGCTGACATGAACTTCTGTAAATTTATCTTAAATATAACCCACACTTCCTGTTCACTGTTCTAAATTCAGAAATACACACATATGCAGTGAACGTAAACTGGAAAAAGGTTAACAGATGCAGTGGAAATGTAAGTGCACATTCAGTCCACATTACTCTTAACCATTTGTACGCCATAAGCATCTATAGACGCAAGCGGCGGACCTTTTTAAATTAAATTCAAAGTATCGTGGCAGTTCACCAGTTAAAGTATAATTTAAAGGTTTAAAACATGAGCCATTATCTGAAAACCTGGTTACCTGCTTTGTGCTTTACAGGCCACTGAAGAAATCTAAAATAGTCAATATAATTCAGGGGCTAACCACCCAGAGAAGTGAAACGAACCGAAAATGAAATTATGGCAAAATCAGCACACACTTGAGTGCTAAACTGTAAGGTGCAGCCTTTCGGTGCTAATTACCTGCAGCCAGTTTTCATCTGTCTATCACCGATTCCCGAATCGCTTTCTGAGAGCCTGCAGCACCTAATGACATTAAAGTGAACTCCATGTGTGTCTTAATCAAATTTGTTTTAGAGATTCACAAGTAGCCTAGGAATTAAATTAGAAAAGTCCAGGAGACATCTGCATGTCTTCTGAAGATGAAGAGTTTTGAATCCAGCCTTCTAGCCTTAAAAAACATACTTAGAACCACATTAATGTGAATAGTACTTATCCCAAACTGACAGCCTCGAATATGTAATCAACATGATTGTCACTGAACACTACTATAGACCTCAGAAAGGCCTGCTTTTATTTAGAATTGGGACAATCCAGCCTGGCTTTAAAGAAGCAGCACCAATATTCTACAAATGCATGAGATGGTGTCTGAGAGGCTCCACTTTGCAGAGTGGGAAGTGTAGGCAGATGTGATAAAGTAGGCAACTATTTAAGAAGTTCAAGTGCAATCCATCATGTTCACCAGGCTGCTAAATGTCAATGGCTGTGATTAAAAAGAAGGGGGAAGCACTAATTTGAGGAGAGATTACTTATTTATGCCTTTAATTCATTAAATAATTTGAGAGAAGGGCTGCCATGGTACACTGCTTTAGAGATCACGCAAGGTACACTGACCACGTTTGCAAGAAAGACACCAGGATAATAAGCTGAGATGAGCGAAGAAAGCCAATTTCAGCATTTGAAGCAGAAGCAGCTCTGATTCAGCCCAGTGTGCTGCCTATTTACAAAGCACACCAACTAATCAGCTAAAGGACTAGACTCTTTTAAGACCGAGGCCATTAAGGAAAGAGGAATTTATATTAATGATGGAATACAGGCAACTTTGTCCTCAATTTTAGTGCTTTCTGCATTGGTATGGACAGACACTAGGACATTCACAATCACATCTGCTGCCATCCTCCAGCAAGTTCAGAGGCCTGGGGCTGTATGTCAAATATACCAATTTCATCCTTGGCTTTATTATCTCCCCCCGCCCCCCAAATTCCAAAACCTATGTATCATATCCTCTTACATTTCCTTATTTTTAAGATTCCTAAAATCCTACAGATAGTTGCTTAGAAATAGTTCCTGAAATGACAAATTAATCAATCTCTGAAAAATTAAATCAGATAAAGTATAGAAAAACACATAAAAGGAATACCAGCTTGCATAGAGCTTTATTATTATTACTAGAGGCCCAATGCACGAAATTCGTGCAACGGGCTCAGCCCTTGCAAGCCCCGGCTGCCTCTTGCAGCCCCACAGCCCTAGCTTTGTCAGGAAGATCATACAGATGGCTGTCTGGGACGGTCCTTCTGCTGTTTGGTCTAATTAGCATATTAGCTCTTTATTGTATAGGATTAGCTCGCTATTTCCAGTATTACTCTTGGTATTTTATGCCAGCAACTTTTTCTGTAAAGGGTCAAATAGTAAATATTTTGGGCTTATGGGCTACATCCAGTCTCTTTTTTCAATTGAAAAGAACAACCCTTTAAAAATGTAAACACTATCTTTAGCTCCTGTGTAGTACAACAGAAAAGCTGCAGGCCAGCCCTGACTGGTTTGGCTCAGTGGATAGAGCGTCGGCCTGCAGACTCAAGGGTCCCAGGTTCAATTCTGGTCAAGGGCATGTAACTTGGTTGCAGGCACATACCCAGTAGGGAGTGTGCAGAAGGCAGCTGATCGATGTTTCTGTCTCATCGATGTTTCTAACTCTCTATCCCACTCCCTTCCTCTCTGTAAAAAATCAATAAAATATATTTTTTAAAAAGAAAAGCTGCAGGTTATCATTTGCCCACCCGTTTTACGTGCATACATCATTAAGCTGTACAGACACTGCCCTCAATGTGCTGAGCATCCTAATTGTTCCTCACTTTCCACTTGGAAATCACTGGAAAAACTTTGGACTCTCACCCTTAAACTTGGACTAAGACGAGTGGAAGCAAGAGAACTGAGATTATGACCAACCCCAATGTTGGTGACGAGTTCCTAATACTTGGGACAAAAGAATCCTCTCCATGACTAAATAAGAAAACTGAATCACTTCTTAAAGATCTACATAGACATTTAAAGACTTAAGAAAAAATGACCTTAAACTCCGGCAAAACAGTATCAATTGACGGGACTTAAGAATGCACATGCAGCCGAAACCGGTTTGGCTCAGGTATAGAGCATCGGCCTGCGGACTGAGGGGTCCCAGGTTCGATTCCGGTCAAGGGCATGTACCTGGGTTGTGGGCACATCCCCAGTGGGAGATGTGCAGGAGGCGGCTGATCGATGTTTCTCTCTCATCGATGTTTCTGGCTCTCTGTCCCTCTCCCTTCCTCTCTGTAAAAAATCAATAAAATATATTTAAAAAAAAAAAAAAAGAATGCACATGCAGTGCCATGATTTCTGATGAACACTCTACCACAGCGGTTCTCAACCTGTGGGTCGCGGCCCCTTTGGGGGTCGAACGACCCTTTCACAGGGGTTGCCTAAGGCCATCATGCATATCAGATATTTACATGATGATTCATAACAGTAGCAACATTACAGTTATGAAGTAGCAACGAAAATAATTTTATGGTTGGGTCACAACATGAGGAACTGTATTTAAAGGGCCAGAAGGTTGAGAACCACTGCTCTACCAGCTGCCGTGAGTGAGACAGTGACCCAACAAGGACAGGAAGCAGGGAGAGTTCCCAGTCTGATCACTGGGAGAAGGAATACACATCCTTCCCCACTAGCTGCACCAGTTAGCTCCCAAGGGAAGGGTCCTGTTCAAAGCTGGTTATTCTTTCTACACACAATGCTATGAACTTAATAAAAACACCTGGGTTTCTGAAAGGCCAACATTAAAATAATTCTAGACATTATGACAGCACCACCATCAGACACCACTATCATTTCAAAGCAAAGAAAGCTTATGGTTGCCGCAGACTTAGATGCCTTTTCAGTGGTCTTTAATTTTATCTTTCATTCCCTACCTCCCTAGGAGTGTCTCCTACTCTATTATAGCACATTTTGTGGGCTGACGGGATGGTGCAGCTGAAAGAAAAGAGATTGGCAATGTCAGGGCAGGCCGGGAGCCACAGCACTACCAACCGGGCAGCCCTTCCCCCGTGAGTACAATGGCATAATAGTCACTACCCAGCTGAGCCCTGGCAAGTACAGAGACCGAATTCATTGTCTGTCCTCAACCATTAGAGAAGGAAGGAATAAAAACAGCATTGAGGTCATTCACTGAACGCTGCCGAGACCCACAGACAAGACAGTGCCTCTGAGTCTTCAACAATATATTTCCCTATAAAGCCTTGCTTGAAAAATGCGCTCATTCTTCATTGAATCTGCTTATCCTGGAAAAGACATTTTTAAATGTATAAATATACATGAATAACAACAGACAAGAGCTTTGTAGTTTTCAATGGACACACTGTGACTACTTCCATCGAGTTATTTTGAAAATTTCACAAATAAGTAATGTGTTGTACATCTTCTTTTCATTGTATACAGCATTTATAGTCTTATAAATATAGGATCTAGGGCAGGGGTCCTCAAACTTTTTAAACAGGGGGCCAGTTCACTGTCCCTCAGACCGTTGGAGGGCCGGACTATAGTTTAAAAAAGAACTAGGAACAAATTCCTATGCACACTGAACATATCTTATTTTGAAGTAAAAAAACAAAACGGGAACAAATACAATATTTGTATTTGCTTGTGGCCCGTGGGCCGTAGTTTGAGGACCCCTGATCTAGGGTGTGTCATAGCAGCCAGATAAATAAAATAAAAGCACAAATTTCCCTCAAAATGATAAGTCTGTAACTGGATTTTCCTATCTTCCTTTTCCACTAGAATTCTGAAAATTAAATAAACGAAAACTCACCTGCTTTGATTTTTGCATAGGAACACACAAAAAGTCAGTCATTAAGTAAGTTATGCTGGTTAAAGCCCTGAAAGTCGTACCATTCTTATAAAGCTCCCACCGATTTGATTCTCTGAGCCAATGAAATAATTTCAGGATCTAGTTAGGCCTTCATTACAATGTTTTAAGGTAAAAGGAAGGAGGAGGAGGGTCTGCTGGAGATTGTTCATAATAAGATATGGTGAGAAATCTGAATTACATAAATGGAGTCACGCGGTTCTAATAACCCTATCGGAGTGGATGACTTCAATAACACACACTGGTAGGAACCTCCTCACCTAAGAGAAATAATAAAATGAGGTTTTTTTTGAGAGCACTGTTTCCTGCCCTCACCCCCAGCAGCTAATAAGGCTGGCAAGTTCATCTGGCTCCCTCCTGTGGCTTTGCATGGTCCCTGCTCAGTGTTTTGGACATCAAGTCTGAATGGTCTTCTACCCTCAACAGCCCAAGCTCCACCTCCCAGACACAGGCCTCCCACAAGTGTATAGGCTTCCGTGTTCAGCAAGACCACACCTTTCCGTCTCTAACAGCCACCATAGGCAAGGGAGCCCACAAGCAGTTTCCCCAAACCCCAGTTTACAGTCTTCCGGATGTTGCAATAAGTAATGGCACAAAGAAACATAGCTTGAGGGAAGGAGATAGACTGAAAAGATGTAGTTAATTCTTTTTAACATGGATAACAGTCAGCAAGAGTGATGGATTTGTGAATGGATTTCTTTAAAAGTTCACCAAATGCCCATGTGACTAACCTCAGAATCAGAAGTGTAACGTCAGAATCAGAAGTGAAATATGAGGACACCCAAAAAGAACACAACAGGCAATAGGATAGCTGAAAACTGGGATAACTGAGGACATAATAATAAAACAACTCATAAGAAGAGACAGTAAGATCTCTTCACTATAAGTATATCCTTCATGCAGTAAAAAACCTAGTGTGATCATAAATAAGTGGTCAGGTAATCCAAGTTAAGCACCTACCAGCAAAAACCATGGCTAGTTTAAAAGTGGTTAAGAGCATCAGTAGATTTCAGGAGCCTCATTTCAAATTTTACTTCTATAAATACATACATGGTAATTTCATGTTAATCTCTCTTTTCTGAATGTAGACAGCATTCATTATGCCCCACTCATTTGGGTGTTTAATCAATTATCTGTAGGCATGGATTTGGCAGTCTACTTCTTTTAAATTTCCCATTTTTCTTCCAGCATAAAAATCACAGCTAATATTTCCTTTCCTTGGATGCTATTGGGATTGTTGTTTCCTGGTAACA